AAATGCCTAAGCATAAGTTTAACCAAGATGGTGAAAGATCTATACACAGAAAACTGTAAGACATTGATGAAAGATTGAAGAAGACACAAATAGAAAGATGTTTCATATTCATGGATTGGAATAATGAATATTTTTCAAATGTCCAAACTACCCAAAGCAATGTACAGATTCAGTGCAACCCCATCAAAATTCCAGTGGCATTTTTCATAGAAGAACAAACAATTCTAACATTTGTGTGGAATCACAAGAGACCCTGAATAGCCAAAACAATCTTGAGAAAGAAAAACAAAGGTGGAGGCATCACACTTCCTGATTTTAAACTATATTACAAAGCTACAGTAATCAAAAAACAGTGTGGTATTGGCATAAAAACAGACACAGAGATCGGTGGAGCAGAACAGAGAGCCCAGCTATAAACCCACACTTATATGGTCAATTATTTTATGACAGAGGAGCCAAGAACATACAGTGGGGGAAGGACAGTCTCTTCAATAAATGATGTTCGGAAAACTGGACCCTTATCTTACACCATATACTTAGGTCAACTCAAAATCAATTAAAGACTTGAACCTAAGACCTGAAACCATAAGACTCCTGGAGGAAAACATAAAAGTTAAACTTCTTGACATTTGTCTTGGCAATGACTTTTTTGTATTTGGCAACAAAAGCCAAAGTAAACAAGTGGGACTACGTCAAACTAAAAAAACACAGCAAAGGAAACCATCAGCCAAATGAAAAGGCAACCTACTGAATGGGAGAAAATATTTGCAAACCATTTATCTGATAAGCAGTTAATATGCAAAATATATGAAAAACTCATACAACTCAATAGCAGATAATCTGATTTTTAAAAATGGCAGAGGACTTGAATAGACACTTTTTCTAAAGAAGACATACAGATAGCCAACAGGTACATGAAAGAGCGCTCAACATCACTAGTTATCAGGAAAATGCGCATCAAAACCACAATGAGGGCGTCCCTGGTGGCGCAGTGGTTGAGAGTCCGCCTGCCGATGCAGGGGACACAGATTTGTGCCCCGGTCCGGGAGGATCCCACACACCGCGGAGCGGCTGGGCCCGTGAGCCATGGCCGCTGAGGCTGCACGTCCAGAGCCTGTGCTCCGCAACGGGAGAGGCCACAACAGTGAGAGGCCTGCGTACTGAAAAAAAAAAAAAAAAACACAATGAGCCACCACCTCAAACTTGTTAGAATGGCTATCATCAAAAAGACAAGAAATAACAAGGTTGGTGAGGGTGTGGAGAAAAGGGAGCCCTTGTGCACTGCTGGTGGGAATGTAACTTGGTGCAGCCACTGTGGAGAACAGTATGGAGGGTCCTAAAAAAATTTAAAAATAGAACTACCATTTGATCCAGCAGTCCCATTTCTGGGTATATATCCAAAGGAAATGGAAACAGGATCTCGAAGAGGTGTCTGCACTCCTGTGTTTATTGTGATATTACTCACAGTGGCCGAGACATGGAAACAACCTGAGTGTGCATCGGTGGTTGAGTGGATGGAGGAGATGCGTGAGTATTCGGTGGACCATAATATAACTCAGCTGCGAGAAGGAGGGAACGCCTGCCGTTTGCAGCAGCGTGGATGGACCTTGAGGGCACGGTGCTGAGTGAAATAAGCCTCACAGAGGAAGACAGATACTGCATGGTATCACTTATATGTGGAATCTTTTAAAAAGCCCAGCTCATTGTAAAGGAGAGCAGGAAGGTGGTTGCTGAGGGTGGGTAACATGGAGAGATTGATGAAAAGGTACACGCTGTCGTCGGTCCGATGACCAAGGGCTGAGGATCTAACATGACATATGGTGACTGTATCGTGTAACGGGGACGTAGAAATTAGTGTTCTCACCCAGAAGAAGGTAAATCTGAGATGATGGACCATGTCAATGACCTGGACGTAGGAAATCTTTCACGCTGTGCATGTACGTCCAGTCACCGCAGTGGACATAGCTAACCATTTTATAGGTCGGTCACGCCGCAGTAAAGCTGAGAAGAATTTAAATTTAAAGAAATTTCAAGTTTGTTTAAATTTTATATTACTCTTATAATCAGAAAAAATATGTGAAGAGAACTCTTTTTTTTAGTAGTTTTCAATTCTCTGACTACATGGGCATTGGTTTTCTGGAAAGGTGTAACAGCTGTCTCTGGAAAAGTGACAAAAGCCATGAACGTGCACAGCAAAGAAATGGACACTCATACCTGATTATAAAATTTTACATCATATGTGGAAGAGTGGACCCCAGGTTAAGAGCTTCCTGTGAAGGGCTGCTAGCTGTGCTTTCTTTCACAGCCAGGATTCTCCGTTTGGCCCTTTCCCTCTTGTTTTCCAGCCAGTTTCAGTCTGGCTTATATTCTCATCATGCCATTGAAGTGCTCATTCTCATGTCACCAGCAGCCCTTTCCTGGTCATCGTACCACCTTGGCTTTTCTTTCTTTTACCCCAGTTTTAATATATTCATTCGTATCGTAGTGTATGTATTATTGCAAACTGCCTTAAACCATTTCTGAAACAAGATATTGATTGACAGATACTTCCACTTGTGTCTCATTTCTCTAGTCATATTTATGCCAGCCTTTCTCCAGAGCTCCAAATTAATGTATGTGCTTACTGGCTGTGCCAGGATGGGTATCTCACAAGCACCTGAAAACTAACACATCCACTACTGAGCTTACTGTTTACCACCTCCAGGCCTACCCTACCTGTAGTCCCTGTTATAGTAAAAGCACAGATCTTGTACCTTTAGATCTTATACCTAAAGATAGAGGTCTGTACTCCCAGAGATGCCAGCTCTCTGCCAGGGCTGGTGCCTTCGCCTCTCCTCCCTTCCTCCCTCTCGACTGTGGCTGCCCTGGCTCGTGTGCTCAGCTTCTTGTGCCTGAAAATTAAAACTCATGGCTCTGGTTGTGCTCTTCGAACTCTGGGATACAGGTACCCAGAAGAAAGTCAGAGTATACTGGACGGTCCGTGACGCCACAGGATAAATATAGAGCATTTTCCTGGGATGTCGGTTTTCCCTGAAGACTGTGGGGTAGGGCAAGGAAGAGATTAGATGTTAGGAGTAATTTGTAAAAAAAAAAACAAAAAACTTTGATATACACTGGCTTCCAGGATAAAGTCTAATAACCTCCTTAGCATGGCATAGAAGATCCCATATGATGTGGCCAGATGATGCACTCTGTGGTCTCCCAGACTCTGTAAACACTTAGAATGAGAAGCAGCGGGAAGAGGTAGGGCACAACTCAGTCCCAGTGGAGATGGATGCAGAACCTAGTCTGACGAGCCAAGAGCTGCCCACGGCCAGATGCTGAGCCAGCTCTTAAGGAGGAGTTAGATTAGAGCACGGTGGCATTGAACATAGAGATGTTATAGATGAGGAGCTCCCTGACGATCCAGTGGTTAGGACTTGGCGCTTTCACTGCCAAGGGCCTGGGTTCGATCCCTGGTTGGGGAGCTAAGATCCCGCAAGCCGCGAGGTGTGGCTTAAAAAAAAGGATGTTATGGACCAAAAAACAAAGAATCTGAACAAATGTGAGATCTAAGCCCGCAGGTTTACTAGTCACTGTGGACCTTTGAACCCAGCAGCTGATACAAATAATATGATTGTAAGACACTTAAAAATTAAGTTAAGAAAAATCATTTATTGAGAACCTGGGGTCTGGGGGCCTTGTTTCTGCAGTAGGTTCTTTTAACATAGAGAAACAATGTTTTTGTTGACTTTTTTTTTTTTTTTTTTTCGGTACGCGGGCCTCTCACTGCTGGGGCCCCTCCCGTTGCAGAACACAGGCTCCGGACGCGCAGGCCCAGCGCCCATGGCCCACGGGCCCAGCCGCTCTGCGGCATGTGGGATCTTCCCGGACCGGGGCACAAACCCGTGTCCCCTGCATTGGCAGGCAGACTCCCAACCACTGCGCCACCAGGGAAGCCCTTTATTGACTTTTATTACCATTCTGAAAATAACAAAAGTAAAGACTTAGATGATATATTTTTAATAATTGTATCCCATTGGGCATGGTAAGCAGCACCCAGTAAATATTTATTGATTGAATAAGAGGCGAATAAGGTAGAACTGTGTATAGAAAACAAACTTTTTTTAAGAAATATAACTTCCTTTTTTTAAATCTTTAAATTTTAATTTTATATTGGAGTTTAGTTGATTAACAATGTTGTGTTGGTTTCAGGTGTACAGCAAAGGGATTCAGTTATACATATACATGTATCTATTCTTTTTCAAATTCTTTTCCCATCTTGGTTATTAAGAGTATTGAGTAGAGTTCCCTGTGCTATACAGTAGGTCGTTGTTGGTTATCTATTTTAAATATAGCCACGTGTACATGTCAATCCCAAACTCCCAGTCTATCCCTCCCACCCACCCCCGTAACCATAAGTTCGTACTCTTAAGTCAGTGAGTCTGTTTCTGTTTTGAAAACAAACTTTTAAACCCTGCAAATAGTACACCAGTTTTTTGAGTATGTGTAAAATGTTTATATACATTGATCTCATCTTAGGATGCCAAAAAAAAACTCCAAAAAGTATAAAATCTTTGTAACATGGAAGTTAAAAAATAGTCTCCTACTAAATAACAGTTGTATTGGAGAAGATTTAAAAACACTGTTTGGAAAATTATATATATATCTTAGGAATGTGACTAAAACAATGGTCTGAGGAATCATAAGTCATTTGACTTAATATCTTAATAATTTGGATGTAACCATGACTGGGATTTGCTTCAAAACGAAATAGAGGGATGAAAGAAATTTTAAAGGAAATAACAAAGACCAAAGCAGAAATAAATTAGAAAACGTAGAAATGATGGTGGTACTAGTTCTAAAAAAAAAGCCACAGAAAGATATAAAAACTTAATGAGCTCTAGAAGTAGCTTCATAAAGCTTCACATGAAAATGCTGTAACACATAATGCTGCTTGGAAAAACCAGGAATTGAGGGACCCGCTGGTGAGTAGCTCTTGCTTATTTCTTGCTCTCCAGTTACTGTGACCAGCTGAAAGTCTCAGAGAGCACCCACGTGCTTCAGCCCTTCCTCCCCAGCATCCTGGATGGCTTAATTCACCTGGCGGCTCAGTTCAGCTCAGAGGTCCTCAACCTGGTGATGGAGACCCTGTGCATCGTTTGTACGGTAGACCCAGAGTTCACAGCGAGCATGGAGAGCAAAATCTGCCCCTTCACCATCGCCATCTTCCTGAAGTACAGTAACGGTATGCGCGAGGCGGGTGGGGGGCGAGTGGGCGGGGATCGCGTGAGCGCTTCCCTGGGTCTAATGGTCTTAGCATTAGAAGCAAAGAATGTGACTTTGAATTAGCGAGAGTAGGGTCGTGCTATAGATCAAGCAGCACTAAACAGCGGAGAACGTATGCCTGTAACTCTTGCTGTCTAGTAAGAACCGGGAAGAAAGATAACGAAGAAAGCTAACCGGCAAGACGTATAATCTGGGACTTTGACAGTAAAGTAAGGGAATTGAGCAACTAAATCAAAAGCTTCCTAAAAGAAGAGGCCTAGAACTATAACTAGAAAAGGAAAAGTGAAGAAGGAGACACATGGAAAGGTTTATGAGTAAGGTGTTCATTGCGTGTTTTTTATAGTAGCAAAAATTTGGAAACAGTAGAGGTTAATTAATTATATCTATAAAATGGAATGCTGTGCAGCCGTTAATAATCAAACCCCAGAGGAATTGTTAAAGCCATGAGGAAGCGCTCACCTTGTAGTAAGTGAATAGATTGTTTTCCAAAATGCGTGGACTATAACTACAAGTTTTGGTTTTGCTTTAGAAAAGGATGTATGTGTGGATTTGTATATAGAGAAATTACCAGAAGAAAATGCATCAAAATGTTCAGGGCAGTTATCTCCAGGTGGTGGAATTACAGGTGTATTTTTTCCTTTAATACTTTTCTGCATTTTAAGTTTTTCTGCAGTCAGTGTGTATTAGAAATATTGAGGACATTTGTATCTGAAGAGCGAGTATTGAAGCTTGGAAGGGGGTTGGTTATGTAACGTGATGCCATACTAAACATTTTATTCAATTCGTTTTTTCACTTAAAAATGTGTCCTAAGGAGGGTTCCACACTGCACTCTTAGACAGTCCTTGTTCTCTCCGCCCGTCACATAGTATTTATTCCATAAATATCGTCATTTATTTACCCATTCTGTTCATGGACCTCTGGCTTGTTTACAGTTTTTGTCTATTACGGACAACACTGCGGTGAACTTCTAACGTGTGTCTTAGTGCCCTGCACACTGCATACGTTGTCTCATGCTAGGTAGAGGAGGGCTTTATATTTTTCTTACACAAAGCAGGTCGAGCTGAAGTTGCATTTCTTCACGAGCCTCTGCTTTTGGAAGGCTTTACCTTTTTTGCCCTCCGATGGCTTCGGGAGTTCTTGTGTGCGGTGACCACCCCCGGGAGAAGTACGTGGTCCTCGTCGACACGTGGGAACCTGGGAAGAGTCAGTACTTGGGCAGTTTCTGAGACTGATGTCTTCTTAACAAAGTATCAGTGGGGGCGTTTTTTCCCCTTAAGCATTTGTTTTCATAATCAGTCCAAGTTTCACAAGAATACAGACATTAAAGATTTGTCCCAGAAAAAGAGGCAGGTTTTGTTTTAGGAATAGCTGTTGCTGACTCGTCCCTGACTTCGTGAGATCACACACATGCTGTCTCCCAGACAGCTAGCAGCTCTCCCTGCTTTTCAGGTTACTCCGGTGGCCCCAGCAGGTCCCGGGTCAGTGATGTGTAATCAAAGCAGAAGTTGTAAACATAAGGACACCAAGCGGGGAAAACCGTGGTGAGGTGGGGATGGTGGTGTGCTGAATTGGCGATTGGGATTGACATGTGTACACTGATGTGTATAAAATTGATGACTAATAAGAACCTGCTGTATAAAAAAACAAACACAAAAAACAACTAACACTAAACTTTCTTTGGGTTATTTGTATGGAAATATGTTAGTATAAATGTTTCAGACATTACATGAAATTTCTAAAAAAAAAAAACAACAAAGCAGAAGTTGTTCACTTCGGTTAGGGCCAAACAACAGGCAGCATTAAGGCAGAAGCACACACAGACCACCAGGCGGGGGGACTCATGTTGCCTTCTCCACTTCAGATCCTGTGGTCGCCTCGCTGGCTCAGGACATCTTCAAGGAGCTGTCCCAGATTGAAGCCTGCCAGGGCCCCATGCAGATGAGGCTGATTCCCACCCTGGTCAGCATCATGCAGGCACCAGCAGACAAGATCCCTGCGGGGCTCTGTGCGGTACGGCAGTCGTTACGGGGCCGGGGTGGGGATGAGAGAGCACGCGCGAGCCCTGCACAAGCCCCCCGAGATCCCACCCCGCTGACGCCGACCAGCAGTGTGATATGTTCACGGGGTGATGTTCCTGGGCTGCTTCACCCACGAGGACGGTGGGTGGTTCTCGAGGCTTTCACAAGGGAGCGCTTGTTCCCAAGGTGCCCTCAGTGATTGGACAGTCCCGTGATGACACTGTCCCCGGCTGTCCAGTCAACCTCCGCCCCCGCCCACCCCCATGGCTTCTCATGTGATGAGCTGCCGCCAGGAGACTGAGAGTACCCTCTGCTGTCTTCCTCTTCCAGAAACGCGCCTTTCATTATGAGTGTCTCTGGGTTGGTGGGTGGGCTCCGCACAGTAAGGATCTTGTCGTTGGGCCCCCCTCCGCCCACCCCAGAGGCAAGCCTGACTTCTCTCCTGCAGACGGCCATTGACATCCTGACCACGGTCGTGCGGAACACGAAGCCCCCCCTCTCCCAGCTGCTTATCTGCCAGGCTTTCCCTGCTGTGGCCCAGTGCACCCTCCACACGGATGACAACGCCACCATGCAGGTATCTCCGCGCAGGTATCACCACGCAGGTGTCTGAGCCGCGGTGCATGTGCAGCAGGCTGAGCAGTTGGACACCATTTCCTGCCTTTGAGATAGAAACCCCTCAAATCCATATTTACCCAGAGGACCCAGGCAGGGTTCCGACTGCTAAAACCAAGACGTTCTGTGCGTCTCAGAGGTGTGAGTGCCAGCCATCCTGCTCTCTGTGTCTGGGTGTTGCTGCGGCGGAAGAGCTTATAGACGTACAGACTAAGGAAGTCAGCAAAGGGACCGGCCTTTGGAGACCTGTAGGCAGCGTGGTTGGTGGGAGGCTGCTTTATGCTCACAGAGACCTGCAGTCCCCCCAGTCACTGCTGTGTCTTAGCTGTTTTCTCAGTACCAGAGGTAGAGCTTTACGGTTGAAACTCCGTTTGCGTGTCCATTCTCCCTTTGATGAGAAGCGCGCGTTTCTGAGCTAACCGATGCGGCACAGCAGAGACAGGGTGGTGCACGCCTGTGTCTGCAACGGCGAGGCCCCCACTCCGGCGGGATGAGCCCCCCAGACCCTGCAGACGGAGGGCTTGTGTGCCCGCGGCTGACCTAGTCCCCTCCCTTGTCTCCTAGAATGGTGGTGAGTGCCTGCGGGCCTACGTGTCGGTGACGCTGGAGCAGGTGGCCCAGTGGCATGACGAGCAGGGCCACAATGGGCTGTGGTACGTGATGCAGGTGGTGAGCCAGCTCCTGGACCCCCGCACCTCCGAGTTCACTGCCGCCTTCGTGGGCCGCCTCGTGTCCACCCTCATCTCCAAGGCGGGGCGGGAGCTGGGGGAGAACCTGGACCAGATTCTCCGTGCCATTCTCAGCAAGATGCAGCAGGCGGAGACGCTCAGCGTCATGCAGGTAGGACGGCCCCAGCCTCTGAGACGCTGGCGAGGGAACGGCCACGCTGCCCTCTGTTTCCTGCCTGGCTGCCTGAGTCCCTGAAGCAGGTGTCCTCCTGTCCCCCCAGTCCCTGATCATGGTGTTCGCCCACCTGGTGCACACCCAGCTGGAGCCCCTCCTGGAGTTCCTGTGCAGCCTCCCGGGGCCCACCGGCAAGCCTGCCCTGGAGTTCGTGATGGCCGAGTGGACCAGCCGCCAGCACCTCTTCTACGGGCAGTACGAGGGCAAAGTCAGGTGGGGCCGCGTCCTCCTCCTCTGGGCCTTCCGCCTCTTCCCCTGACTTGAGCTACCCAGCTGCCCGTTGCGTTCCTTTTCCCTCTGTTTCTTTCTGGCTAAACTGTATATTCAAGTAGCTGCCCTCTTGAAATTCCCAGAAGATAGTCATCACAGGTAGAGCGTGTGTTTTTGATCTCTGCTGGCTAGAGACCCTCCCCTGCCCGCACCTTCACCCAGCCAAGTGCTGCTGGCGGCTTCCTCTTCTTCACAAACCCAGCTTTCTGACTTTTTGTCCACGGCGTCTCATCACCCCACACTCCCTCTGGTGCGGACGTCGTCGTGCTGCTCACCCGCTCCGGCTTTGTTCAAGGACAGCTCTCATCCGACCGTCCGTAGGAACACGAGATCCCCTTTGCAGCCAGACTCTCTTCTGTGCCCTAATTAGTTGTGAAAGCACTTGCACGCTCCAAGTGTCGGGACGTAACTGCCTGTCTCCTTGGGGTGCACTCCGAGGGGGCAGCTGATCGGCCCTCTCTGGCTCTTCCTCGCCAGCTCTGTGGCGCTGTGTAAGCTGCTTCAGCACGGCATCAACGCGGATGACAAGCGGCTGCAGGACATCCGCGTGAAGGGGGAGGAGATCCACAGCCTGGACGAGGGCACCCGCACGCGCTCCAAGGCGGCCAAGAGTGGGTGACGCTGCTCCCCTCACACACACGCACTGCCACCCCCACCCCACCCCGCCCCCGGGGCTCAGGACACCTGGGCTGGGAGGCGGTTAAGACATGGTTGTTAGTGATGGGTTTGATAAGAAGCGGCAGAGAACCCCAGGTGAACAGTGGAGCAGAGCGTGGGTCCTTCTGCTGCTGCAAGTGGACAAGAGTCCCAGGTACAGGGACCCCCAGCATCCAGCTTCATTCTGGGCCTTGGATGCCCACTTCTCGTGTCTCTGTGTCTGATTACCTTTGGCTTGTGACTCGTGATGTGTGGGCAGAGCGCAGAGCTGCCTTCTTTTTTTTTTTTAATTTACCATCTTAAATTTATTTTTTCTGCATTGGGTCTTCGTTGCTGCACGCAGGCTTTCTCTGGTTGCGGGGTGCACGGGCTTCTCACTGCGGTGGCTTCTCTTGTTGCGGAGCGCAGGCTCAGTAGTTGTGGCTCGCGGGCTCTAGAGTGCAGGCTTAGTAGTCGTGCCTCATAGGCTTAGTCGCTCCGTGGCATGCGGGATCCTTCCGGACCGGGGCTTGCACCCGTGTCCCCTGCATCGGCAGGCAGACTCTCAACCGCTGCGCCACCAGGGAAGCCCTGGAGCTGCCTTCTTTAACTGCAAGTTTGCGCTCACCTGTGCTGTTTCTCAAACTGCAAGTCCCAGGGCCCGGAGTGCTCCACCCTGTGCAGGTCGCTGGTTTGCAGGCTTTTTTACTGGCAAAGCCTGTCTCCTTTGGTCCCCGAAATCTCTCATCTCTCCTGACTTCTAAACTCCTGTAGCGTGGCACAGAACGAAGCTATTTAATTTTCCGTCGTGCCTCAGGGCTGGGTGTGGGCTGGGCAGTGGAGAGCCGGGGGAGGTGTGGCGCACTGCCTCGCGGGGTAGCGGCCCAGGGACAGTGGGACGTGGAGCCTCCTCCTCCTTCCAGACCCTGAGCGCTGGACCAGCGTCCCCCTGCTGGTCAAGATCCTGAAGCTGATCATCAGCGAGCTGTCCAGCGTCACGGAGGCCAACGCCGCGCGCCAGGCTGCCCCCGCAGAGTGGAGCCAAGGTGCCCGCCCTCCCTGGAGGCTGGGTTGGCAGCCAGGCCCCGGGCTTGCAGATCGCTGGCTGGCTGGCTGGCAGAGTCCCCGACGGCCCAGGCTGATCTCCAGGGTCTGCCTGCAGCACCTTGGGGGTGGCCAGGAGGCCAGCGCTTCCGGCTCCGATTGTTCCGCAGAGCCTCTCGGCCTGTTCTCTCCCCCGAGTCGGACTTGGTGGGGGGATCTGGCCAGGTCCTCTACCACTGGGGCCCGCGGGGCTTCTGTGTCCCGGCCAGTCTGGGTGTGGGAGGGAGACGCGTGCGCGTGCTGCAGCTGCTTCTCGGCCCCGTGCAGATGACTCCAGCGACATGTGGGACGACCAGGAGGAGGACGACGACGACGAGGAGGACGGCCTGGCGGGCCAGCTCTTGTCCGATATTCTTGCCACGAGTAAATACGGTGAGCGTCGAGGCCAGCCCCGTGCACGCCGGCACCAAGAGCGGGGCGCCCAGGGAACGTCCCATGGGCTCGTGTACCCCTTGACCTCAGCCGTGTGGGTGCTGCCTGCCCCCCGGGGCCTGTGCGCCCTGACCCTCCCTGGCTTGGTGTCTCTCCAGAGGAGGATTACTACGAGGATGATGAGGAAGACGACCCTGATGCCCTGAAGGACCCTCTCTATCAGGTCGATCTGCAGGTGAGGGTGTCCAGAGATGGTGTCTCGCCAGCAGCCGTGGCTCAGGCCGTTGCGGCTCGGCCTCGTCTCGCCCGGTGGGCAGGGCTGGGGGAGGGCGGGGACTCTGCACCCAGGGGCTTCCTGCCCTTGCCCCGTGCTGGAATCCAGCTTCCTGGGGCTGTGTCCTAGTGGTGGATTGCAAGGTGTGGTCTTGGGAAATCCCTGTGGAATTCAGTCTCTGGGTTGAACCTTCCCTAGAGCCAAGAACCGGCAAGCATCCCTGGGGCACTGGCACCAGTGTGAAGGCCAGTGGTTCCCGCCCTCAGGGACGCCTCCCTCCTCGTTCCTCTGTTCCTCCAGGCGTACCTCACGGACTTCCTCTGCCAGTTTGCTCAGCAGCCCTGCTACGTGGTGTTCTCAGGCCACCTCAACGACCACGAGAGGCGGGTTCTGCAGACCATTGGCATCTGAAACGGTCCTCCTCCCACCCCGACGCACACCGTTTTGCGGCCCTCACTGGCCTTGAGATGCACTTTCTTCTCAGCCGGGAGCGGCCTCTGCAGAGTGACACTGACAGTACAGACCAGGCTCACCAGTGCCATCACCTAGGAATGCTGGAACAAAGGACGTTTCCCAAAGTACCCTGAAGAAGCCCGTCTCTGGAACCTTTTAGTCCCCAGCTGTGCCCACCTTTGCTCCTAGAGCCCTCTGCTGGCCGGGCCAGAAGCAGCGCCCAGAAGGGTTTCACGTTCGTGGACTGTTTGGCCTCGCCTGAGGAGCGCTGGAGGCCACGACCGCTCATATTCTAAAGTGGACCTGTTTCCTTCCGCAGGACATCTGACGTGTTCAGATAGGAATACCCTCGGGAGACAGTGGTGTTTTCTGCCCCCCACCGCAGACGTGCTGGGTCTCGTAGGAGCGAGGGGAAGCAGCGCCAGGGACCCCCGTTCCTCCTGCGACACTGAGACTCCCCGTCGAAGGAGGTCATGTTGGTTTTGCCTCGTTGCATGACAGCCCCTCCCCGACGCTGTTCCTCTGTATACGTGCGCGCACGGGATGAGCCAGACACGTGGCAATTTGTTTTTCCTTTTTTAGAAAAAAAAAAAAAAAAAACGGGGGAAAAACAGATTTTTTTAAAAAGTCCACCTGACCCAACCATATTTAACATGCCTCTCACACACATCCCCACACAGTCTGATATTCAGAGGCTCCCCCTCTCCCTCAGGAATTCTCTAAGATGGGTAAGTTGTAGCCCTCAAATTTGCAATGTGTATTTTTCTAGGAGAGTAAAGTAATCTTTACAAATGAATTTAGTCTGCATGGTATAAGGTGTCTCAGCACCTCTGCCTTCTATTCCTTTTAGAAGGAAAATTAAAATGAGGGGAAAGGCTTAGGTAGAGCCATGTAGTAGATACCCTTGTGTGTTTTAGCTGACCTAGAGGAAATGATTGATTCTCCCAGTTGGGAATCGTCTGTGGTGGGCTCAAAAGTGAATGAGGATAAGAAATCAGGAGGAGGAAGGTGGATTAGCCCGGCAGCCCCTTTTTTGGTACTGCCCACACCCAGCACCCCATTTTTAATAGCTGCAGAGTATTCCTTTAGGGTGGTGGTCTCAGCGGGAAAATAGAATATAAACTGAATTTAACTCTCTCAAGGAAAGACCGCCCCCCCCATGGGCATTGATTCTGTGGGGCTGCCTTGGGAGCCTCGGGACTTGTTGCCGCTAGGTGTCCCTGCTGGTCACTGCCCCCCACCTGCAGTGGAAAGCCTGGGAGGCGGGTGGTGTGTGTGTGTTCCCGGGGCTGCCAGCCAGGCCCTGGGCTCATGCCGCCTCTGACCACTGCTCCTCCCCCCATGATTCTGGGGAGATGACGGCACGTCTGGCCACTGGTGCTCAGAGACTCGCCCCACGGTTGTAGGTCTGAAGACAGGTCCACCAGGCCAGGATGTCCCGGATAGGCACAAAGGAGTGGCCTCTTGCCAGCAGCGCAGTGGCCGGGCCTGCTCCCTAGGAAGCCTGTCTGCATCCAGTGCCAGAGTGATCCTCCAGCGAGCTCCTTTCCTCCTGCTCTCCTCTCGCTGGTTTTGGGGAGGACCGGGCCTCCTGCCTCAGCACTTGAGTCCTGAAGGAAGGGGTCACGGCAGCATTTAGGGGGCTACCCCGCCCCACAGACTTAGCGCTGTGGGCGAGAGCAGAGGTGGCCCTCGGCGCGCAGGCGCTTCCTCGTGCTTCCAGAGCGTTGTCACACACGTATCCCGTTTACCTCGACAGCTGGTTCCCACTAGACGTTTCCATTCTATCCTTGAGGAAGAGAGTTCAGAGACTACATCCGTTGTCAGGGCAGGAGGTGAAAAAGACCTGCTGGAGGCCCAGGGAACCGACAAAAAGTTTCTCTCTAGCTCCTCCTCTGTGTCTGTCTTTTTGGCCAAAGAGCTAGCTCCAGTATGGGAAGGGTGGGGCTACCTGTTTGCAAGGAGTTGGAGTTCAAGGTCAGACCATTGGAGAATAAGAGCCCTTGGCTGTTCTGACATCCTTCAGGTCCCCTGACCCTGAAGAACAGCGGCTAGGACACCAGGGCCTCGCCCAGGGCTTCACAGAGCTCTCAGCGGAGAGAAGCGCACAGGCGGGAAAGGAAGCCGAGGAGCACACGCCCCTGACCTTCGAGCGCCGCTGCTTGGGGAGCACGGACCAGCCGGTGACTCAGGCAAGCACGATAAAGTGTAAAAGAGCGAGTGATGTCAAACTGGCCTCAGTGTCTAGTTTTAATAACATACCAGGTGAAATCTGGACACGGTAAAAGCAAAAGCATTAGGAAAGCAAAAGCGGGTGACCGTCCACCAGCTCTGTGCAGATTAACCCATCGGGTGGTTTATGGTGTGCCCCAGGGCACTCTGCCCGCAGCCCTCCTTTGATGTAAGTGGCTGATGAGGGTTTTTTATGCCTTACCTTCCAGAAGAGGGTTTGAGGCCATTTACAGAAGAAATAGGTCCTAGACAAGGGCAGAGGGGGAGGCACTGATCCTATTCTCAGACAGGGTCCAAACATCTCTACAAGCTGCAAAAAGTGGGCAGACTCTCTATGTAAGGTTTTCAGAGATGTGGATTGACAAGAGCATCCATGAAAAGAGCCAAGGATTCCAAAGCACCGCTGTTGCGCAGTCCTGTGCCAGTACTGAGTGTCTGTGATGCCAGGAGCTATTCACGCGTCTCTGCAAAACCCCAGTATACACGAAGGCTGGGGTCGCAGCACAGCGTCCAGAGCGTCACGTACAGCAACCTCGACCTTCCTGTGCCTGGCAGTGCGCCTGGAGTGCTCTGTCGCGTCTGGTGCCCAATGAGGACTCTTGACAGAGGAGGCCCATCTGCAAGGGGAAGGCCAGGTGGACGACCTGGATCGTGTGGAGGAAAGAAGCTGGAAGGGCTGGGGGACTTGGGCAGACAGGACATCGCTCTGGAAGGTTAAAGGCCTGTCCCGTGGAAGACACTAACCCGGCGGACCCGTGGCCACTAAGGAGATGGTAACAGCCAATTCCTGGCTCCTCTGTTTCCATTGTGTTTCAGCAAACGTCAAGCCTCTCTCACATGCAAGGCCATCGCCGGGTGCAAGGGGCTTGGCCCCTTCCCCAAGGAGCCAGTCTAGTAGGGGACAGGAAACAGTGCGGTGGCTCTGGGGATGTTACGAGAGAAACTGGTTCTGGGTTGAGTGCCCACTGCCCGAAGGGAATGGCTGATGGCGATGGGGTAGGCTGCCCTTGCAGGGCGGCTGACAGCTGCTGCTGTTTCAGAAGCACAAAATGCAGGGCTGCTCTACGTGTCACCTGCTGGTCTCGTTTAGACCTTCTGCCGTGGATCCTTGACCGTGGCTCGGGGAGGAGGGTGTTAGGGGCAGTCGGAAGCCCACTTAGGACTTACAGGAGGCCCTCGGTTCTCCGTATTTGCGATTCAACCAACCAGGGACAGGGTGATCCTGTAGTAGTTACTGTTGGAAAAACCCACGTCTTAGCGGACCCGCACCATGCAGACCCATGTTCAAGGGTCAGCTCTAACCTTACAGAGTAGGTGCTGTGTCCACCCCGTTTACAGGTGGATGAAACAGGCCCAGAGATGCACGATTACGAGGCTGAGACAAGCGACAACCTCCGGTCCTCGGTTTCTTTCTCTGTGAAACGGGGAACTGACACCTGCCTCAGGGCTGTGGTTACACATAAAGAGGACCGGCTTGAAGACCCTCGGGCTTGGGCGGGGGGCGTCTGCCCCTTGCCTCCCCACCCTGCAGTCACAGTCGCAGGGAGCTGTGTTTGGCGGTCTCCCTGACTCACTGGGTTAGAGTGACTCAGTTTCACAGATGCTGCTGCTAAATTGGGGCCTTGGTGAGCCTTTGGGAAGACAGCTCTGTGAGGGTCCTGCTGTGGGTGCGGGGGACAGAAACGGAGGCGGCGGCGGCGGCGGCTCTTGCCTACCACCTGCTAAGCAGAGCTTTTCCATGTTGGTCTGCGTGACATTATAAAATATCGATGTATTAATCTACTTTCACTAGGTTTTTTTCTCTCCACTTATTCCAGGAACATAGCCGAGTTTTTGCACTTCCTTGCCTCAGCAGCTTTTGCACGGGGAAGGCAGAACTGTTTGAGGATAAGCTGCTTCTGGATCCTTGATGGAAAGGTTGCATCAACTGAGATTAGGCCCAGGGTCTTGGAGGAAGAGAGGGGGAGGGGTCCCAGAAGACAGGAAGGGAGCTTCTAGAAGTCCGCGGGCCCGTGAGTCGTGAGGACCCTGCCCTGATCCTGGCAGAGCACCAGGAGTTGTGAGGGCTGGACACGGGGCACCGGGGCTCCCCGGAAGGTCCCCGTGCCTGGGCCGCGTTAAGTCGAGGCCGCTGGAGTCGCAGGTCTCCCGAACTCACATCTGCAGAGCCCGCCCCCCGTGTTTGCACTGTGTGAGGTCCTGGGACCTTTTTGGGATCCTGGCAGGGGGAGCAAACCATAGGGACAACAGACTGAACTCCCCACTAGCTGGCAGGATAGAGACTCAGTCTGATCTCATTCGACTGAAAGAAAGAAGCATGGCCTTCTTGCACCCCTGCTTCCCCGCCTGGCTCCCCTGCCTGACCGCGTGCTCACCGGCTGCGGTAGGAGGGCCAGTTCCGCCCAGGCCCCGCCTGTGACCTGCCAGTGACCTCCAGCAAATCCTTTTTCCGTTGAATAGAGAGAGAAGGACCAGAGTGCCACTGCCGGCTGACCTGCTGTTCTGGTGGGTCTGACTGAACCCTAGTCCGTTTACAGCGCGGAAGCCGAGGCCAGAGGGGATGGGCAGTTTCTCCAGTTCGCAGAGCCAGGAAGTGGCAGAGCAGGGCCCCTGCCCTGGCCGGTGGTTCGGAGCGGGGACTCTGCATCCTGCATCCTAACTCGGCTGTTCATCCCCTGGGGCCGCTTTGGACGAGCTGCTGAATCCCCAGCCGCCACCTCCCGGTCCGAGGAACGCCTCCTGCAGCGATTCTGACTGCGGGGCTGCCTCACCGCCGGTACCGTGGGGGCCATGATTAGTCTAATACTGAGCCCAGTGTCGTTCTCAGCACCTGGAGCTGCCCTCGCACAGCCGGTCTTGCCGAGGAAGACCGGCCGTTCGCATCTGCGCAGATGGTTCACGCGGGGTCAGGCTGAAAACAGACCCCAGGTGGGAAGGGTCAGTGAGCCCTTCCCCGGAGAGGGAGTGGGGACAGAGGAGAGCTGTCAGCGGAGCCTTCTTCCTCTCTTACCCTCAGTCCCAAAATAGCACTTGTCTGCCCCACCCTGCCCAGCTGGCAGGGCTGCAGGCTGAGTAAGGTGCCATTTAAAGACAACCTGGCTCTCCCCGTCTGCCCCGCTGGCCGGACCTGGACCTCTGCTGCTCCTACAGCCACCCAGGGCAGGCTGGCTACCCCTGCCTGCTTTCCTGAGACCCTGGCTGCCCAAGTTCTGCCTAGACTGTCCTGGGACTCTGCAAAGAAGCAGAAGCCCGGCATTCTGGGAGCGGAAACCCTCCAAAGGCAGTGACAAAAATCCCTCTAGAGAAGAGCGCTCCTTCCTACCTGGAGCTGGAGCAGCGGTGAGGCCCGTCCCCATTACCCCCCGCCCCCTGCACACACACACACATCCCTCCCCCACCAAGAGGACAAATACAGGAGGCAGCATTCCGTTTACAGCAAGAAAGAGTCAAGCTTGGGGCTTCCCTGGTGGCGCAGTGGTTAAGAATCCGCCTGCCAATGCAGGGGACACGGGTTCGAGCCCTGGTCCTGGAAGATCCCACATGCCGCGGAGCAACTAAGCCCGT